CTGGGTGATTTTGGGCCAATCACCAGGAGACGGGGAGTTCTAGTCCCACTTAGGCAGGAAAGTCAGCTGGGTAACTTGGGGCCAATTGCCAGGAGATTGGGAATTCTAGTCCCGCCTTAGGGACAAAAACCATCTGGGTGAGTTTGGGCCAGTCCCCCTCTCTTAGCCCAATCCACCTCACAGGATTGCTGTTGTGGAAAAAATAGGAGGAGGAAAGAATAATTAGGTATGTTTGCCCCCTCGAGTTATTTACAAGAATAATAAAGGCGGGTCCATCCATCTTCAAAGTTAAACTGGTCTAGAGCCAGATAATGAATTCATAGGTTAAATAAAACCCAGACAAATGGATGGATCAAAGTCTTTTTTTATGGCTTACTTTTTCTTGCTTGAACTCTTCAACACCCCTCCTTGCCAATTATGCAAAATTACCTTTTTATGAGCGGAGTGGTACTGGTGTGCATTTAGGGGGTCCTGACACAAACTCTTGACGTTGTGTGAGCTCACAATTATTTATAGAGGAAGAACTAAAATCTTAACATGATTTCCAGTCTTTTAAATTCCAACGTATTAGCTCAGCCTTTGCTATATGTTGATGCAAGACGACCCACCGATATAAACATGCTCATTAGTTCTTTTATTTCATAAATAAACAATAAAAGTGCAAAACGACAGCCAGGCAGGTTGTTATCTTGACTACATAAAAGTTAGAGACATAAAGCAGACTCGGGCGAAAGGCTTGAGCTAAACGTTTTATGTCCAGTAAAGGAAAATATCGTCAACGCGAGAGGAAATCAATATAGTTTCTGTGGGCTCTCTAGACTCTGCCTCCAACATGTACCAAAGCTGAAGGTTTTTCAAAACGACTGTCGAGCCAAAGAATGGGTCCTTCGAGTAAATAGAAATTGGGTCTTGCGTAAGCATAGATCAGTAACCAGAAGATCATCCAAAGAAATGACTGGCAGCAAATTTTAGATCAGTATTTCTCACTTTTAAGCAACTTTTAAGGAGTGTGGACTTCAAGTCCCAGAATTTGCCAGCCAGCATGAACCAAGAATTATATTTTCTTTGGAATTCATCCAATGGAGTTGGTCAGAGCGGTGCCTCAAATACCGAGCAAATATGAAAGGCCAATTTGGCTGTGCAGATCGTCCTCAATTTATGACCACAATTGAGCCCCCAATATATATCGCTAAGCGAGACATTTGTTAAGGGAGTTTTGCCTCATTTTGTGACCTTTCCTGCCACAGTTGTTAAGTGAATCATTGCAGATGTTAAGTTAGTAACATGACTCAGCCAGGAAAGTCAGCTGGGGGGGGACTTTGGGCCAATCCCCGGGAGATTAAGAGTTCTAGTCCTGCCTTCCACGTGAAAGAAGTCAGCTGGGTGACCTTGGGCCAATCAGCAGGAGACGGTGAGTTCTAGTCCTGCCTTAGTCAGGAAAATTAGCTCGGTGTCCATGGGCCAATCGCCAGGTGACTGTGAGTTCTAGTCCCGCCTTGAAAGCCAGTTGGTGGCCAGTCCTTCTCCCGGGGTTGTTGTTTAAATTCAAGGTGTGTTGGATATGCTTCCCTCCTTAAGTTATTTGTAAAAATGAGAAAAAGTGTGATGCAAACAAACAAGCCAGGTAAATGCTTCAGTTCTTGGACTTTAGTGGGTAAAAAAAAAAAAGGAGAACTGCAGTTTGGATGCATCTGACCCTTACCTTGTTTCCTGTCCCAGCGCAACAGATCCCCAAAGCCATCGCTGCTCCGTAGCGGACATGCGGGTTGTAACTTTCGGACAACAAGGAAACGACACTTGGACATTGTTCGGGAGTCCTAAATAGGAAAAAGAAAGTCAATAATGAAGGTTTTGGTTTTTTTTTTTTTAACTGAAGAAAACCCGAAGGAGGGTTTATCCTTTACCAGCCAAAAAGATTGTTATCTTTATAAAAACGGTATCTTTAAACAATCCTTGGTTGTATAAACAGAGGCATAGAATCAAGAGGACTTGACGTATTAGCACCCCTTTACAAAACCCTAGGAAGGCCACACCTGGAATGCCTCAACTAATTCTGGTCACCATACTACATGAAAGAGGTTGAGACTTTGGAAAAAGTGCAGAGAAGAGCAACTAAGGTTATTAGCAAAGCCCTGGAGACAACAACATGCGAAGAACGGCTGCAGTTTTTGGGGTCCGGCTAGTGTAGCAAAAAGAAGAATTAGGAGTGAGATGATAGCAGTATTTTAGCGACTGAAGGGCTGCCCCCAAAGGAGAGGGAGTCAAGCTACTCTCCAAAGCACCAGGAGAAGCAATGGGTGGAAACCAATCCAGGAGAGAAGCAATCTGGATTTAAGGAGAAACTTCCTCACAGTGAGGACAATTAACCAGGGGAACTGCTTGCCACTAGAAGTTGTGGGTGTTCCCATCGCCGGAGTTTTTTTTTTTTTTAAAGAAGAAACTGGACAGCCATTTATCTGAAATGGTGTAGGCGGGTCTCCTCCTGGAGCAGGGGGCTGGACTAGATGACCTCCAAGGTCCCTTCTGGATCTATTCTGATTCTGAAACGGTATAGGGTCTTCTATACTTGAGGATTGGGCTGGACTAGAAGACCTCCGAGGTCTCTTCCAGCTCTATTTTATTCTGGATATATTCTGGAAAAAGGCCACCTAAAAATTCCCCCACCCCCCAAAAAATAATCAACCAAAGGACGCCCAGAAAACTTGGCCCTTTCAGCTGCCTCTCTGACTAGGAACTCGGAGCAGGAATGTAAATAAAGAGGTGAAGAGGGCAGAGTTGACAAGCTGGGATGGATTTTTTCTTTCTTTCTTTTTCTTTTTTCACCGAAGGCAGCTCAGGTATGAAGGCTATAAACGCCCGCCGCACACAAAGCCATTCGTCACCTTGTTCTCAAACAAAGCTCGAAAGTTGGCAAAAGGAAAAGAAACCTGCTCTAAACACACAACGTGACAAGGCCTCGAATAAATGAACCCGAAAGTTAAAGGAGAAAGACACGTTTTAAGGCTCACACGCCGACACGATGGTACTGCCTGGGCCCTGGTTCAAATTGCAGACGCCTTAGGAAAAAAGATGGAACAACATTTTTTTTTCCTCCCTGAAGGCAAGCTTGCTTGCTTGCTTGCTTTATTTATATTTATATATTTATCTATACATGTATAAAAGCGAAAGACTCCTCATGCGTCATCATCACCACAAAATCTCCAGAACCGTAAAGCCTACAAACGTGAAATTTGGCACCTATGTTCCTCTTGGCTTCTAGGGGCTTGCTAAGAAAGGATTTTTAGAAATGACCATCAGAGCATTAGTGTTTCTATTATTATTACTATTATTACTATTATTACTATTATTATTATTATTATTATTATCATCGTCGTTATTAACAACACACTCTGATGCTAAGGAGTTCTACACCCTCTCCCCACCTGAAAAGAAATCTCTTCCAAATGCAAAACACAAGCAGAGAAAAAATTTAGTTTCAGTTTCACAGCAGCACCAAGCAGCTTTTAGTACAGAACAGTTGAGCTAACCCACGCCCAGGCTCCTCGCTGTCTCCTTCTTGCTCACACAGCAAATACTCTTTCGGTTTCCAAACAGCCCTCAACTCTCTCACCCACTGACAGGACGCTAGCCAGATGAATACCGATGGATGCTGGTAGGCAGAGGCAGAATCCCCCCCCCTTATTTCCCCCCCCCCAAAAAAAACTAAGCCCGACCACATAGTTTCGTAGCGAAGCACGGGTATCGAGCTAGTATATTTATAGTTATGAGATTTATACTGCCACCTATTCGCACATGGTGACTCAAGGCAGCTTACAAAAAGATAAAAACGTTTATAAAAAAACAATAAAAACAATAAAACCAATAAAAGAATCATATATGATAAAATAAAATAATAAAATAACCACACCACCCTGCCCCAGTAACATCATGCGAGCCATTTAATGGGCACTATCCCCCTCTGCGTTCCCTAGGACTACATACATGCATACCGTATTTCCCCATGTATAAGCACCCCCTTTGTATAAGCCACCCCCCCAATTTTTGGACTGTGAAGTTTTGAAAAAAATATTTTATTAGAGAAACAAGTTATGAAGAAAGAAAATTTACAAAGAAACAAAATTCGACGTCTAAATCTACAACTTCGGTCATGACGCCGAAAGCGGTGCGGGCGACGCTAGCAATCTACGCATCGGAACGAGAGTAGGAACGAAGCATTCAGGCCGATGCCTAGCGTATGCATTTCTATCGCGTACTCGCACTCGTAATCGTATCATCACGTACAATTTTTACAAAAAAGTATAGCATACTGCTGGAAAACCAGTTTATTCCTACTTTATTATTTTATGCATTTTTCACGTATAAAAAGTGTACCTGCTTTGTATATGCCACCCCCCTACTTTTTGGGCTTGAAAATTTTGGAAAAAAGGGGTGGCTTATACATGGGGAAATACGGTACATACCTACATAGACACACACACACAAACACACACACACACACACACACACGCTCACATTCATATATATATATATATATATATATATATATTTTGGGGCTCAATTGTGGTCGTATGTTGAGGGTCACCTGTATATAGGATCCATTTGATTTGGTGCTACAGGTATTGCCGATTTGTGTTCACAATCACCTTGGAAAGGGCCGGACAGAGCAATGAAGAAAAATATAGGACTTTTTGGATATTTTAATGATAGAAGTTGGATATATATATAAAGTAAATCCATCTTGGTGGGGTTTTTTTTTTTCCTTCATGCATTCCATATTATGCCTGTAATTATTTTGTCTAAATGGCTGATTGGTTTGCTTCCCACACGGTGCTGGGCCTCACACAATGTCTCCAGCACAGGGGTGATGGATGCAACTCATATCTCTGTGGCTTATTTAACAAACCATTATGGAAATTGTGTTTATGCTGCTTTGCAGTTTTTTCCTCCGAGGAAGCTTAAGTTAACTTATACAAAGACAAGTGGAAGAAAATGGGTGGGTGTGAAATCAAAAGAGCCCCTCTCTGGGAAGTATGAAAAATAAATAAATAAAAATCTATCTATCTATCTATCTATATATAAAAGCGAAAGAACACTCACGGATCATCACAAAATCTCCAGAACTCTAAAGCCTACAAACTTGAAATTGGGCCCGTATGTTCCTCTTGGCTTCTAGGAGCTCACTAAGAAAGGATTTTTTCCAAATGACCATCACAGCATTAGTATTTCCTATATTATTATTATTATTAACACGCTCTGATGCTAAGGAGTTCTACTCCCCCTCCCCACCTGAAAAGAAATGCAAAACACAAGCAGAGGAGAGGAATTTCAGGTTCAGTTTCACAGCAGCCAGCAGCTTTAGTACAGAACAGTTCAGCTGAGCCACGCCCAGGCTCCTCGCTGTCTTCTTCTTGCTCATACAGCAAATACTGTTTCAGTTTCTAAACAGCCCTCAACTCTCTCGCATCCTGACAGGATGCTAGCCAGATGAATCCCAATGGATGCTGGTAGGCAGAGGCAGAATTTCCCCTCCCCCTTATTTTCCTCCCAAAAAACTAAGCCCGACCACATAGTTTCGTAGCGAAGCACGGATATAGAACTACCAGTACAACAGTCAAAATCAACGATAAATAAAAATGCATCAATAAAATCATCAATAAATAATAAAAATACATCAATAAAATAAATAAAAATACATCTATAAAATCAAAAGGTTAAATTATTTCTTCTTTCCCCCGCACAAGATTTTAGAACAAAATGGCTTGGAAACAAAATCGTTTCAAGACGTATGGTATACCCTTGGGTTATCCTTCAGGAGTTAATATAGGTGGTCCTTGACTTACGACCACAATTGAGGCCAAACGTTTCTGTTGCTAAGCGAGACATTTGCTGAGGGAGCTTGGCCCCATTTTGCGACCTTTCTCGCCACGGCTGTTAAGTGAATCTGGCTTCCCCGTGGACTTTGCTTGCCGGAAGGTCGCAAATGGCGATCCCAGGCAACCGTCGTAAATACGAGTCACTTGGCAAGTGTCTTGGATAGAAATCACATGGCCATAGGGATGCTGCAATGGTCGTAAGTATGAGAAATGCTCACAGGTCACATTTTGCCAAGCCATTGAAACTTCGGTCGCTAAACGAACTGTTGTAAGTCAAGTGTAATAAGTCTCAAAGTGCCAGAATATGACCAAAGGTTAAAATTATATGTCTGAAGCTAGATTCCAACTTCAAGGATAGAAGCAGCCAAATTTGATAATCAATCAATGTAAAAGTGCCCAAGGAAGGGAAAAGGAACTGTAAAGGAAAGTATTTGTAAAACAACACACGAGGCGGGGCGGGATCTAAGGGAAGAAACTTTAAGTGATAGTCCCAGTGGACAATCATTTAAATATGAACCAGCCGTGTGCAGCGGCAGCCAAAAAAGCCAATGCAATCCTAGGCTGCATCAACAGAAGGATAGGATCAAGATCACAAGGAGTTGTTAGTACCACTTTATAAGGCTGTCACGCCCCCGTCGGAATCTGATTCGGAGAGGGAGGCCAAGCAACTGACAGGGAGTAGGAGCGTGGCGCCGTTGGCTGTGGAGAAAACCGCGGAAGGGGTAAAGTCCGGCTGGGCAGAGCAGGGAAGAGGTAGAACAAGGGAGAGGGAATTCAGAGGAAGACCCAGGCCCCACTCCCTTTTCATCCGCAGGGAGGAATAGAGATGGGAGCAACGTGGGTGGCGTGGCTTATGGGGGAGGAAAGGGCCCTGATTCCCTTAATTAGCTGCAGCTGGGAAGAGAGTGTTTGAAAAGGGAAGTTTCGCACAGCAAACCGTGGGG